ATTACACTTCTTTTTTCAACATGCTGTCCCAACAGCACTTTAATATGCAAATTAGATACAGTGTATAGATAACATTGTGCTTAATGGGAAAACCAGTTTATGGAATTTTTACACACATATTGCATAAAACAAAATGGTATATCAAATCATTTTGTTATATATTTTATAACATAGTTGAGAACCATCCTTAAACAAAGTTAGTTATAAAAAAATCCTGAAACCTAAAAATTGATTGGTGATTTTAAAAAAAATCCCATTGTTTTTGCCTTTTCATGTCTACTCTTGTCATTTTATTTTTAGAAAAACTGAGTCCTGGTGTCCTCTACAGAGGACATAGCATAACTTATGAATAAAATATAATTTTTAAAAAAAATTTATTTTACCTTTTTTTTCTTATGCTCTAAACAATGTAATGACATGAAAAAATACTAAATTCACAACGCTTTTTATTTCTGGTTCTCAGGAGATATAGTTGTAGTCTCTGGACCAATGAACATTTTGAGTTGCGCTGTACAGCAGGCTATATTGAATCTCATTGAAACTATGTAACGAGCATAAATAAATCCCAGTAAACACGTTTAGACATGGGAAGACAGTTTCTGACTGTTCAATGGCCTTTAGTGTTTAGTGCTGATGTTTGGTACGAATAGGTGCTTTTGAATGAATCTTTTAAGTGAACAGAGGATTCCATTTCCCTAACGAATCTTTTTTACTTGCTTAAATTCTTTCTTTTCCATTTTTATTTTATTTATTTATTTATTTGTAGTAGTACAATATAATATATAAGAAAAATAAGGAATCGGTTAAGTGAAAGATTCACTCACAACACACAAAAGATACTCACTTAAGTATATAACTCTGACTGTTCAATGGCCTTTAGTGTTTAGTGCTGATGTTTGGTACGAATAGGTGCTATTGAATGAATCTTTTAAGTGAACAGAGGATTCCATTTCCCTAACGAATCTTTTTTACTTGCTTAAATTCTTTCTTTTCCATTTTTATTTTATTTATTTATTTATTTGTAGTAGTACAATATAATATATAAGAAAAATAAGGAATCGGTTAAGTGAAAGATTCACTCACAACACACAAAAGATACTCACTAGACGCCAGCTACTGGTTTAATGATGCAGAAAAGGTTTCTGCGCGAATCATAGAACAAATCTTTTTGGAGAACGGATTCAAAAGATTCGAGTCACTGAATCAAAATTGCCATCACTAATGACTTTTGTAGATCAGCTTTTATAAAGATCAGCTCTTAAATTGTTTTTGCAGTGAACTACACAATTTGAACATAATTACATTAACATTTCAATTGTCAGTACTTGAGAAGAGTTCATGGAGAAACCATTCTACTGTACTGTTCTCCACGATGTACTTTGTACATACAACCACAGGATGGCGGTAGAGTATCTTAACTTTGTTCCTGCCATTCTCAGTACGAGATGAACTCGCTGAGCACGGTTCAGTTCAACATTCTAACCGGGTAGATGGCAAATAAAATGATCAAGATGCTTTTTTTCTGGTCCTGTGTTAAAAGTATAAATATTCCATGCAGTCTTCAAATCATTGTGAGGTCATAAAACTGCATTCATTTTTTAGATTAAATGGGTTTTTATAATTATAATTTTATTTATTTTTTGTGAAAAATGTGAAAAAACAACCCAAGGTGATGTACTGCAGCACTGAGCCAAAATATGTGTGTTTTACAGTTAGCTATAGTGTGGAAATATGTGTGGTAGGTAATAAGCAAGGTCTTCTAGCACTTACACAGTGGGTTAAAATCAATACATCATGCAGAAAGTAGACCTTTGTCCAAAGAGCTGACAAATTGAGAAATGAGAATGTGTGCCTCTGAATCTTGCTGGATCAAGGGAACTCAAGCACACACACTTACAATGATAATGGGAAACACTGCAAGCCAAGCATTTAGTTAGTCATAATAATCAAAAAGCCATTTTCACAAACATCATGCTGTAATATAAAATGTTCATACTGCTCTGATCACTTTGTAATGGAAAAATAAATAAATTTCAGATGACAAGAACACAAATACAGTGGTAGTTCATACTGTTTTTTTTTTTTATTCACGTTAATTATGAGAACAGAAAAATTGCAGACGAGGAGCCATAGATTACAGATACAGTACGTGTGCGTTTAGATGACCGTGAATGGCTCAAAGCTCAGCACTGGTAAGGTGTACAAGCTTCATTCATAATGCATTTCCTTGCAGGAAACCCTAAAACACCATCCAGCCATCTGTGATATGATATCCACTTTAGCTCAGTGCACTGTAAAATAAAACAACTCATCATTCAGTTATGGTACATTTACTATTTGCACAACTGATCACTATTGAATATATGCACAACTGTAAAGAAGTCAATTACATAACCAACAATGAGTTTTTGCAAATAAACGTTGTGGATGTGTGACAATATTTTCTATATCATTTGCACCATCAAAACTGTTTACAGAAAGACAGCTGTGGTGTCTTGTGCCTAGTTGGAGGATAAAGTTGCGCTGAAGAAATAAGGATGCAAGACACTGGGGTTTCTGAGCAGTGAGGAATGAATGTATATCAGAGATCTGTCTTCTGTTACTGGCTTTACAACATTTCCTTGTGAAACTGAACACACTAACAAAATACACTGCAAGAACAGAATACTAGTTCAATGACAGACAACATATCAACTACCTAAGTTAATACTGATAATTTCTTACAATCAGAAAACACATGTTGGATTTACTTTGGCCATGTTGTCATGCCCATAATGATATTTAAATAGATAAAACTGCAGTGAATTCAGAAAAGTGGACAAAGCAAGGATGCTCAGTCATTCTATGAAATGAAGCCACACTGAGTGCGTTCCTGGAGAAAGAGGATTTCAGTGCATCTCCTCCAAACTGCTGACAGTACGGGATAACATGGATGTCTTAACGTAGTCGAATGGAGAGACATGCAGAACACCTGCAGCACAGTCTGCACTCCACGGCTCTGAATTTTAACATCTCAATTTAGCCTCCTGTTACTAAAAGAGACCGTGCACTCAAAAATAAAAAAATCTGTCATCATTTACTCACCTTCATGTCATTCCAAACCTGTGAATTTATTCTGTGATACACAAAAGAAGATTATAAAAAAGTTTCAACAAAGTCAATGGGTTTCTTTTTTTTGACAAACAGGTTTGAAACATGAAGGTGAGTAAATTATGAATTTAGATTTTTGGGTGAACTATCCCTTTAAGAAGAACTAGAAAGGAAATCAGAAACACTAACAGAAATATTACAAAAATCCACTAGTAATTATTTTAATTAAAACTGATTTGCTCCGAGTACTGAGCTATTTGCTCACTGCATAAATCTTACTCCCTGTAGTAATTTTTAAACGCATATCTGACATTTATAAATAATACATTGACAAAGACAATGTTAAAGATATGCTGCATTCATATTCAGATTGGTCTTTTCCTAGCTTGGGTTTCAGAGCAACACATCTACTGGAAGTTCCTGTATACAGCATTCATACTGACAGGAAGTTCCCTCCCCTCATGCTCTCAATGCATTACCGCTTATTGTGAGGCGTGAGCTCAACCTGTTTTTAGATAAGAACAACTGTCTACACCTCTCAGATATTGGAGTGTCTTTCCTGAACCACTGAATGAACCATTAGGGCCACAGCACTGATCTGGAATGGACCCACAAGTGAAGAAACAAGCCCTAGAAAGAACAGAGAATTACAAAATGTTATGAGAACGAGCCCTTGAGAGAAAACAATGACAAGGATACAAATGTCTGACAAGGGTGTTCACTCAGGTCAGTTTGCTTCAGAAGGATGAAAACAGATGGGAAGGGCAAAAAGCCTGTACAGCGAGAAACAATCCTGCGTATTGTTGAGTGAGAGAAAACACAAGAGTCCAGGATGGGTGGATGTCAGTCTGCTGAGGGAAAACCACTGAAGACAAATGCAGGAAACATTTGAAACCTTTTTGGGTGTGGCTATAAACATCACTGTTCAAGAGTCATGAGCTTTGAACAGGTCCTGAAGATCATGACATCACACACACTCACTTTCAAGCTGTCCGATTACCCACCGTTGGCAGCAAATGTGCCAAAAACCCTGTTCAAATGTATCCGTTTGATAAACTCTGTAAACAAAACAAGTGAAATAAATTAGCATGGAAATAGAGCTGGTGAAATGATCAAAATCATGAACATGTGTTTGCAACCAAAAGACTTCTCCAAGTTTGTTTTGACTACAACTGTGGACCTTTACTAGTCCAGGTCATGTATAGGTTAAGCTGGGATAAAAACCGGATAATAACAAGACTGAACGGAGGGATTTTCTTCAGGATAGGCCAAGAAAGCCAAAGAGAAGTGGCACCAGGAAAACGCAGCAGTAAGCCACTGTGCCGTAGACCATAAACCGGTACGAGAGTTCCACGTGCGCGTGTTGTCTAGCCTTCCGCACGTCATCCGAAGGAACGCCGAAGATCTTGCACGCCAGTGGGATCGCCACCACCTTCATGGCAGCCCTGACGGCTAGAAGCACGGCCACTCCTACCAGGAGCCGCATGATGGAACGGGTCAATAAGGCCCCGTCGATCAGGGGCAGAGTGAGTGGGAGAGCTTCTTCGGGGGGATCTGGCTGCAGACCCAGTTGGTGGTTCAGGCGGGATGCCAACGCGGCTCCAGCAGCTGTGGCTAACGCTTGGGCCGTGTCGCCACGGGAGGTGCTCCATGAGTCCAGCGAGAAGGCCACCAAGCTGAAACCAACATGCAGAAGCAGGATGACCAGAGGGGCATAGCCGTGGGACAGGTAGAACGTGTCGATGTCATGCAGCATGGGCTGAAGGACCACCAGGATGAGCACACTGTAGAGGAAGCCTGTGATCACCTCCTGTGAAGATGAAGGCACAAACTTATTATTCTCTCAAAAATTTGAATTCTGTCATCATTTAGTCACCTTCATGTCATTCCAAACCCATAAGACCTTCGAAACACAAATTAAGATTTTTGTTAATGAAACCCGAGAGGTTTATGTCCCTTAAACTTCTTGTTTCACACGGATTCATTTTGTGACAGCTTCATGACCTTTTTGTATCTTTAAGTTTTGGTTACCTGGACTTTCAATGGAAGGAGAGAAGCTTCTCAGGTTCCCTAAAAATATCATAATTTGTGTTTCATAGATTTAGTCTTATGGGTTTGAAACGACATGAGAGTGAACAAGTGATAACAGAATTTATATTTTTTGGGTGAACTATCCCTTTAATGATATTCTATTTTCCAGTAGCCCTTGGGTTATTATGATTCAAATTAGGAACCATTAAATCAAACATGTTAATATTGTTGTTCACACGGTGTAATTTTTAGACAAACTTCCATTTAAATTGTCATTGTTTATTCTCTACAGGCCAGGCAAACACATGAAGGTTAGTGAAAACAGGTATTGCTTTGCATGAGAAAGGTGGCGTTCAAGCATCAATGATCTGTATAAACAGTGTATGAGTCATTATGGAAACAGGACTCTTTTGTGTGTAGAATTAACAAAAACTTTCCCCCCGAAATGAAACATTGCAATGTATTTATTAACTATTCAAAAGGTCTTGGTTACCATAACATGTCGAAACAGACCTGAGAACAGGCTGGAAGAATATAGCAAGTAGATCTGATAAAGAGGTATTATTTACAGTATGTAGGTTTTACGCACACTTCAGCTGCTTTATGTTTGTGCGTGGCACAAAAGTTAAAGTCAATGTTCAGGGCATCTCTCCATTTTATGTGAGGTTTCACAGACAGCAGATGTCCAAGTCTTTGCTTCCAGCTCACTTTTTGTGGAAGACATAGCAAGAGTCATATGGAGCACTTTATGTTACTTTTAGGGTGCTTTTACCTCATCTTTGCTTGACAGTGTCAGTTTCATTATGATACAGAGTGGCAAGGATATTCTTCACAATTTCCTTTTTTTTTTTTTTGTTCCAGAGAAGTAAGTGACAAGGGTCTGGAGAGGCACGAGGCAGTAAATGATCTATTTGCCCCTTTTCGTCTGATCAGGCACATTAACAAGATTAGAGACTTTGGACACCTTACGAGAACACTACAATCTGATAGTCTTTATGAGATAAACTTATGCAGTTATGTACTTTAAAATGGGCAAAAGGTCAAAAGAGATTGCAGAACCTGCAGAAGAAAAAGCCTTATTGAGCCTTTCACAGAGTCATGACGACAACTCTCTCTTTAAAGATTGAAGACACGTTAGATCTGACAGACATGTAGTTTGTTGGCCCTGTCCATGTGTTCTTTAAACATGCATGTACATGTACTCTACTCCATATACTTTTGCAAGGCAAAAGTCTCAGATTCTTTCCAGCACAGTGTCTCATTTACACATTCCCATTGCAGTCCTGCTCTAGTCCTTCCTTCTATATATCAGTCTTTTTAAGTAAGAGGGTTAAATGGATGCTGGAAAGATCTAAGCCCTCCTTGAGACTTTTTCGTAATCCTCTCTACCAAAGCACTATGATCACAGCTGCTTCAACCCTAAACTGTCAAACAGCCCATCAGGGGCTCAACAATAAGGAGTTTTCGATCCTGACTTGGTTGGTCCAGTAGTCCAGATTTTCACTCACCTTGCCAGCATTTTCACACAAATAAGAAATATTTTAGCAACATTGTTTTTCTCAATATCAAAAAGTGTGTCACCTGAATTCACCCTGTGTATTATTTTAACAATAGACATAACAAAGGGATAGTTTAATAAATCTCATTGGTTCTCCCGTATTCAGGCAAACGTGTATTTGAGCTTCCACAAGAACTGATGAGTTTAGTTCTTGTGCATCAAGTACAGTTGACTATCATATTTAACGAGCTCTATGCACCTTTTGAACCGTCAAAGTTCTGGTTCCATGGACTTTCAATGGAAGGACAGAAATCTCTCAGGTTTCATTAAAAATATAATATTTGTATTTTGAAGATAAACAAAAGTATTATTGGTTTGGAATGACAAAGGCAAGATGTCTTGCAAGCAAGATACTGTAAAAAAGCGAGATATGATCTCTCTGCAGGTGTACAACCAACAATTTAAAAAAAAGCTTTATAATTAATTGCTATTAAATTAATTCAAATACAAAATTTTAACTGACAGCCCTATTTTTTAAACATTTAGACATGAGCTATAATATAATTTTATGATTATAGCATGTGCAAAAAAAACTGCATGTGATCAATGAACCTAAGATACAGTTTTGTCTAATGTCCAAGCTCAGACTGGCCTGGGGTCATGATCGGACCATCCTTAACGCTGAGCCCTGGTCCACAGACTTCACACAGTGTACAATCTAGGCTTCCTAAATCATTGGGTGTGCAGATTTCCACAAAGATGATTCAGCCACATTCTCTGAAAGCACAGCATTAAAATAACAAGGTTCCCATCACCTAGGCAACTAGCATCTGCTTTCTTAATCTGTCCCTTCTCACCACCTTTAAACCAATAAAGACACGCAGCCTTTGCAAAAAATAACAGGTGCAAGAAGTCATTGGAAGCACTGATGACTAACATACAGCATGTCAATCATGATAACTAATGCAAAGCTTGCGTTTCAAATTATCTATCGGCCTCTGTCTGCTCAACACATCAAAATGATCACCATGGCTCATACAAGCCCAGGGGAAGCAATTATCCAGTCAGAGATCTTCTGTGAGGAAAAGCATTGAAAACAGATGAGCATTTGAAGATCAGAGGATACTGAGTCAGCCGTGATGACTCACTGATTTGTTTCTATACTGACAGAAGAGGGTTGCAAAAGACTAAAGCAGCATATATTAAGCTTCTTTTTGAACTGCTACCAAAACCTTAGACACGAAGCAGCAGGAAAGTTCCCCAACTTCGAAACTTGTGGACAGAGCAAATTATAGTGGACAGCTGAAGGTGCCTGAACTGCATAAAACATATTAATATGCTCTGAATTACCATTACAGCTGGTTATTCTAACAGTGCAATGGACTGAAACGGTTATGCTTCTTAAAGGGTTAGTTCATCCAAAAATGAAAACTCTATCATCATTTACTCTCCCTCTATTTGTTCCAAAAACCTATATGACGATCCCTTAGTTTAAGGCAATAAGAAAGAATGATTAAATGTGATGAAAACTTTACTCACCAGGACAGAGTGCATGCCCATGTAAATCCTGCTGATGCACACGAGGACACTCCAGAACAGAGCGATGCTCAATCCAAACATGAATGGGTACTGTTAAAGAAAAAGTGGAAAGACTTGAGGAATTGCAGTAAGGTAATTTCTTAAAACCAGTTAAATCTAGGGTTATTAACTAAAACCAACACCATAAAAAAAACTAAACTGGTAGTAAAATAGATGTTAACTCTGAAATGAAATAAAATTTAAAAAACTATTTTATGTCAGCTAGTTGCCAATGCAGCATTTTTTCATTTTATTGTTTAACTTGATGTACTAAAATAACTAACACCAAATAAAAATTTATAAAATTTATAAAAACTATATATACATATTTACAAAAAATAATAATAATAAAATGCCAAAAAACAGTTTTACTACAAATTGAACAAATTTAAATGAAAACTAAATGATACTAAAATTACACTGGTTAAAACACATGATCTAAATTTCTAGACTACAAAACTCTAAATATTATACTTCAAAATTCAAACACAGTGTACTGTTCAAAAGCTGTTGTAGATGTTTCTAGAGCAGCAAATCAGTATATTAGAATGATTTCTGAAGGATCACGTGACACAGACTGAAATAATGACTGCTGACAATTCAGATTTGTCATCACACGACTAAATTACATTTTAAAACAGAGAAAGACATTTTAAATTGTAATAATATTTCACAATATTACTGTTTCTACTGTGTTTTTAAACACATAAATGCAGCCTTGGTGAGCATTAGAGAAATGTAAAAATCCTAATCTCGGTAGTGTTAGTGTATGTGTTTGGGTTAGTTAAGTGTTATGTATATCATAATCCAACCTTTATTCAAGTGGTATCTAAGAATGTAGTGTTTCTTCACACAAAAGAGAAAACTGAACTAACTGTTTAAAACAGGAATAAAAAAGCGTATTATATAACTTACAGTACCCATGATGATCAACCACAAATTAAGCAACAATATCAGGACAGAGCTGGCCGAAATACCTTATGAGTCCATCAAGGATTGAGACCACCAGGCACACTGTTAATGTAAGTTCATATATTTGATGAATTCCTGAACATACTCTAATACTTCAGAGGCAGACCAAGTGCAGTTGCAAGAGACGTGGGTCGAAATAGCTGCTGACCTGCAGAAATGCCTCTGGATTTCTCATCATTCAGACAACAGATCTATTCGTTTTTGGCATTCAGCTGAACTTTCCTTCTGTGCTCATGCATTTATCTGCTCCAGTAGTCTGGGCAATATACCAGTACCTCCCACAATCCCATCAACATTGACTACTCTGTGTGTACATTAAAACCTTTACCTCACTGTCTGACAAGGGTGTTCACTTTACCTCACTGGTTCTCCAGCAACGTCCAAAATAAAGCTTTAACGCAAATTTTCAGTTTCCCTGAGAAATTTTTTTTACATTTCCTCATACATCTAGGCTTGTTTGAATAAATCATCTACAGAAAATCAACAGGCCAGAGCAATAGTGAAAGAAGAGGAAACATGTTTGAGGCAATTGTTCCTAGTTTCCTGCTAAATTTAAGCGGATATGAAAGCAAGAAAATAAACTATAGGGACTGTGTTCCGTTCTAACGAAGTCGTGGCCTAATGGTTAGAGAGTCGGACTCGTAACCCAAAGGTTGTGAGTTCGAGTCTCTGGTCCGGCAGGGATTGTAGGTGGGAGGAGTGAATGTACAGCGCTCGCTTCCACCTTCAATACCACGACTGAGGTGCCCTTGAGCAAGGCACCGAACCCCCAACTGCTCCCCGGGCGCCGCAGCATAAATGGCTGCCCACTGCTCCGGGTGTGTGTTCACGGTGTGTGTGCACTTAGGATGGGATAAATGCAGAGCACTAATTCCTAGTATGGGTCACCATACTTGGCCACACTTCACATGTCACGTCACTTTTGTGCTCAAAGAGCTGGATAAGACTTTCAGTCTTCAGTAGGTACACAGCACATTATCAGTCAGTTTCGGCTGACTTCAGAAAAACTGCCGGGGAAAAAATGAATAAGAAGTCCGCCATGAGAATCTGTCAAAAGCAAAAGACCAAGAAAAGCTTCTACAGAACTAGATCAGATCCCTGTCGTATATAATAAGTGTATCAAAAAGAATTATAGCACACCCTCTTCTGACTATATGCTAAATTGTTGTTGAAAGTAATGGCTTCTTTGACATCAACAAGCATATGATTCTGATAACCCAGCAGAGAAATCCATATTTATGAATAACACAGTGCACTGCACAAGCCTTTAGTGGTTAAGTAAAAAAAGCCTGCATATTTTGCAAAAAAACGATTAATGTCCTGTCTGGAAATGCATTCACTGGGAATCTTGATTTCCAGATGAGCTAGTTCTACAATAATATGGAAAAGTAAAACAATTTTCCAATAGATGCAACAGACTAAGGACAGACGACTTTTGAGATCTGAAAATCAATATTTGAGCACCAGTGGATAAACGTCCCTTTAAAAGAAGGACAATCATTCTAGCATGTCAACACTGAACCGGATGAACTTCACAGAGCACTGGCAAATGAACTGAACTAGTATAGAAACTAAAAACATATCACTTCCCCTCAAGAAAAAGCTTATTTCAGTACTTTTTTGATGCTGCAAGTAGGCCTGTTGCAATAATCAATATATCGACTTATCGCGTAATATATGTACATGACCTCAATAATTTTTGGTGACGCAATATATTGCACATTACATTTACTTAAAAAATTAATGTCACCATGTTTTGTACATTCCACTTGCGCCTGTGTCTTTTGCAGCTTCTCGTACATAACGTGGTGTAGTCATGAGGTGCAAATTTTAAAAATGCTTCTACAAAAAAAAGTTTCATCTGCAGATATGGCCTTGTTTAGGGATCTGTGTCTTTGTGCATACGGACATCTGACTGCTAAGTAGGGATTGTGTTTTTCAGCAGTAGTGTGCACCCTTAATTTACAGAGAAAAGGAAAAAATCTCCATACAAGTTCTTTGTGCATTTTTCTTTTTTTATACTTGTCACTTTGCACTTTTTGTTAGAAAATGTTTATTTACTATTTGTTTTTTAAGGTATCTAATATTTTGATACTTAATTTCCATGATCTAAATATTCTTAAAAATTTAAAGTTTGTTGTCATTTGGAAGTGTGCAGGCCTTCTTGCATTATTATGCTGTTACATTATGATTATATATTCAGTGGCATAAAATGGTTTTTAAATGACAATAATCGCTTATCGCAATTATTTCTGGGGCAATATATCGCACAACAAAAAGTTGTTATCGTGACAGGCCTAGCTGCAAGTCCTAGTGATCATTCAAGTAAGTTTTGAGAACAAAGCATTAAGAATATGCCTCAAATATTATGCTTGATTAAATGAGACATATACAAGTACACAGTGCTTTATGGAGAGAGACTAAAGGCACCTTAATCTATAAATGGTTTTAATGAACTAACATGTATGTAGAGTATATATTCATGTATGTATATAAAGAAAACAAAACCTTTACGTTCATGCCCATTAAATGTTAATGGTGGCTGCGGTCAATGAGATCTGCTGGCACAACTTCATTAACTAATTAACACATAACTTAATTCGTTAACCATTAGTGCATTTTGGAGCATTTCAATCATTCTTCAATAACATTTTGTAAAGGAATTTGCTTTAGATAAATGATACATATAGGTAAACGCTGAAATCTTCAAAGGCTGGGCATCTGGATATTATTAGCTTGCCTTGCGTATGCATGATAAACAAAATGCTTGTTAAAGGCAGATGGTTTTGATAATGAGGACAGATGTTCAGAATGAATACAGCACACCTAACACACACACACACACACAAACAAACATGTTAGACCTAACTTTTATCTTTTTCTACAGTATACTAGCACTTATTTTTATTATTAGTATTGTGAAATTGAAAGTATAGATAGTAGCATTTTCCAGTACTACTAACCATTCCGTTAAAGGCACAATATATAAGATTTTTTTATTAAAATATCCAAAAATCACTAGAACAGTGTTATATATTTTGCTGACTTGTGTACTTACATTATCCCAAATGTTTCGAAGAATGTTTAAATCCAGAGAAATAAGCAATTTTAACTAGTGACACAGAGCGTGTCCACAGTGTCATTGTGTCGCCTGCCAATGACTTCATAACCCCTCGATTTCCGGTTTTGTTTTGTAGAAAACATGGAAACACCAAAGACGCTTTAATATGTTGAGGTGACGACCGCATAGATTAGCATCATAACAGAACTTTCAAATGTATCTAGTGTGATAAAACAGCGCTGCTTTTTTCCCCACATACACACGACCGGAAGGAGCGGAAGCAGTCGACTGTGGCATAATAAAAGCTCCGCTGATTTCGAGCCATGCATCACGCTCGTTCACTTCGCCTCGTTTTGCTTCGACGCCTGCTTCATTCTGCTATGTTAATAAATCATTAGCTCATCCATGAACATGATTTCTGCCCGAGTCCCGTCGGATTGCATCGGCTGTGGGGATAAAGACGACAACTCCCATGATTCCACACTCAGTCACGGTGTCCTCAAACTCTTTATTTGTTTATAAAGATTACATTATAACTAGCAACAATTAAACTATATACTAGTTTCTAATAGTGTCTATTCAGTTGCCACTTGAAAAACTTGAATAGATCTTGGTAACGACTGGAATAGTTACTAGTAGCTAAAAAATAAGTAGTAGTACCTAATGAAAAATTACTACTAGAACAGGAATAGGAAATAGCACCTGGAATACAGCTAGTTGATATCTACAGATCCACAAAATTCAATGGCCATATTTGCTAACATTTTACAATAAGGTTCCATTTGTTAACTACATAAGTTAACATGAATTAAATGAAATTATTTCAGCTTTACTAATACATTATTAGTAGTTGTATCTGTTAATATTACTTAAGGGACCAGAGCTAACAAACTAACAATAAACATTTGTTGCTTTTTAAACAACGTTAACAAAGATTAATAAACAATGCAACAAATGTATTGCTCATTTTAGGTAACGTTAGTTAAGGCATTAACTAACATTACCCTTACGAAAATTAACCATGGTTTTACTACAAATAAAACCAAATAAACATGGTTACTATAGTTAAACCATGGCAGCCAAACATTAACCACAGTTTAACCATTTAACCAATGGTAGTCAATATACCAAAAAAAACATGGTTACTACAGTTTTACTATAATAAAACCATGGTTAATTTTCGTAAGAGTGGGAGTCACCCAAAATTTGCAATTTGTCACCAGTAACAATAAAATAGTTACTTCTCACTGCTTGGACAGTGACTAATAGTTAATGAATGAGTACTAGTATAAGTTAAGGAATAAGTACTAGTTTTTAACGACTTGAGTGTTAATGGCTAACTGAAAAGATACTTGTCACTCTAGGAATAAGTGCTAATTCATAGCTCGTAATATAAAAATAAATGTTAGCTAGTAAAGAAAAAAAAACTTAAAACAGATTGTCATGAGCAGACCAAAGGGATACTGTCAAACGCTTCACGTGGGTACGGCTATCGATTGGTTTTGTGTGTGGAAACAGAGCAAGAGTGCGGAGGCATACCTGCCACCGGCTGCATGTGAGCAGGAACAGACAGAAGGGCAGCGCGGTGCCGGACATGGCGTGTGTGGAGGGCATGCTGTACTCCGTGTTGTAGAACACCTCCACTTTGACCACAGGAGGAGAGGCAGGACGGGTCCACCGGACCAGATCTTTCGTGGACTGGCCGAGGAACAGCACCCAGGCCCACACCACGATCAGCTGCCGGCTCACATAAGGGTCTACGTTCCACATCAAGAAGGGGAAGAACACGATGAAGAACATCTCATTGCCCAGCTCGGTACCGACTGTGAAGAGAGAGAAAAGAAACTTGTTCTCGATGATGAACTCCTGGCCAACATCACCAGTCAACGAGTTCCTGCGTAAAGGCTTCACTGTCCCTTTGGAGTCCCTCTCTGTGTCTCGCCCCGACGGTCCGTTGAGAAAAGCAGCGGAACACTCGTCCTGTTCAACATTTCCAGCAGCATTTAAACTTTTTCTCAGCCTTCGGCCCGGAAGTCCGTGTGCTGAATCCCCACTAGCCGCGCGGTCTCCCTGGCATTGCCCCACGCAAGCACCGTTGACCCCAAGCTCCTCGTCACGCTCTCCAGCTTCGGCTGGTTTTTTAGGAAACGTCCCGCGGACGCCGCAGAGCTGCTGAAATCTGGCGACATGGCAGGGGTCCTGTAGGTATCGACAAAGGCAAACGAATCTGTGGAGCGCGTCGCTTGCCATGTTTGAAAGCGAAAGGGCTCTAGCACTGAATCGATCCCCACGCGCTGCTCGTGAGATGCTGTAAACACAAGCGCGTGCAAAGCTGCACTAAACAGTGGCAGATTATATTGTGCGGCGCATAGCTGTACAATCCCCGAGTCTTCAAAACACAGGAGACAGTGGTAAATAGAGTGGCTGAGTTTGACTAGGAGCTAGGAAGTACCCGTCCGACGTTATTAAGCAGGGAGGGCGACAAATACGTAGTTGAAGGCGGGGATGCGCACTAGCAGTGACGCACGTAGGTCCTGGTCATTCTCTATTATGGTCCCCGGGCAATATTTATTTCCTAATGAAATGTAATGACTAGTATGAAACAGGAGGATCTGAAATGGGCGGTGCATAACACTTTATCAAGAATGATTTCTAATAATAAATCTTATCTCCTCAATTATTCAGTATCCATATTATATTCAATGGCTATTAAAGTTTTTCGATGTCATTTTTAAGTAAATTGTACAAGACGCCTCTGAAGCCGCTCGTCGATGTCCATTTCACGTGGTACCTGTTACTTTTCTCCGCGCTAGGCAGGTTTCACCAATCACAGTCGTTTGAAAGAACTAGATGAGAATTCTTACAAATCATTTCATAGGGATTGCTGAAGTATGGTCCTGTTTGTACGAATAAAGGCACAAATGCTCGGAAATAACTCACTTAAGCCATAATAATACAAATGTCTCCGAGACTAAACGTCAGGTCATTTGAATGCGCCCCAGTTGAGTTTTCAGCTTTGTAAGCAGTCCCCCTAAAGAAAACTAAATATTTTGGTAATTATTGTAAAAATATTAACCTGTGAAATAGGATCATTTTAAAAATGAACAAGTAACTTTTTAAAAAGAACCCGATTAATAAACAGAAAAATGAATATAGCAAAAAAAAAAGACATCAACTTTATAGTTCATGAGTAGATCGGTTAATTTGTCTCATAAAATACCTCGTTATGACAACTTAGAAAATGTTAGTTATTAAACATTGTTATATTTTATTTTATTTCTTTTTTTTAATCATTTTTATTATTGGCAAAATAATAACGTGTGCAACAGTATAAATAAAAGCAAGAAACTGATGTACAAACAGAAAGGGAATATAGCATAATAAGAAAAATTACTTCAACCCAATTGAGAAAACTAGGTTTACTCGGCTCAAGAAATGCCTCATTATGACAATTTAGAAGACAAAAAAGGGACAGGAAAATGTGGACAAAAACGATAGGAGAATCTGATACATGATACATTTCTGTTAATTATAGCCAACTGCAAATTTGTGATAAGTTCGTACTAAAATATATAGGCCTATTAATATGCAGGTTATGTCCAGAGGCGGACTGTAACTAAGTACATTTACTTGAGTATTGTACTTAAGTACACTTTTTGAGTATCGGTACTTTACTTGAGTATTATTTTTTCTGGGAACTTATGACTTTAACTTCACTACTTTTGAAAGACAAATATTGTACTTTTCACTCCACTACATTTCTATCAAGATCCTCGAAGTAGAAAGTTGTTACTCTGTAGCAGCTTTGAAAGTCAGTGGGTGATTTTTTTTTCTTCTCTAAAACGTGACTTTCTTTTTTTCAGACAGTTTATCAGTAATCACTCTTGGGGCTACATGAAGTGATTTCCCAGCATTTTTTGAGCACTGACTAGTTCCAAATGTGATATTTATTTACAACAATTCAATAATAAGAAGTTAATATTGTGGTATATATTAGACACAATATTGTCTGATTTTGCTAAATTGTCTACGTGAAAATATTACCTATAAAGCCATAGAAGAACTGTTGTGCGTCTCCTAATAAAACACAAGTACCACGAGAGCGATTAGACAGCTTTTTTTTGTTATTGTTGTTGTGATGTCAAATAAGCCTTGCTGTTTTGCTTTTTTGTTAAAAAGTTCTGTTGTAAAGTTGTACAGCTACAGTTGTGTTGCTGGGTTTTAAAGCAGGTTTGATTTTGTTTTCTTCCTTATCATTTTTTTCTCATTTTGTCTCTCATAGTTGAGGTATACCTATGATGAAAATTACAGGCCTCTCTCATCTTTTTAAGTGGGAGAACTTGCACAATTGGTGGCTGACTAAATACTTTTTTGCCCCACTGTATATATATATATATATATATATATATACACACAGTATATATTTATTTATTTATGTTTTGGTTTTTTTCCCATAGGTTTTTAACATTCTAAAAGCTCTTTATTCCAAAGATACTACAAGCTAGTAGGTGTAATGTATTCTAAGTTGCTTCAGAAGTATTGCAAGTATTACATACAACAATAAAAGTGCATTGACATAAAAAAGGAAATTTACTTTTGGTACTTAAGTACTTTTAAAAGCAAGTACTTCTGTACTTTTACTTGAGTAAAAATCAGACTTTACAACTTTTACTTGTAATGGAGTAATATTTGACCATCAGTATCTGTATTTTCACTCAAGAAATGGAGTTGAGTACTTTGTCCGCCTCTGGTTATGTCATACTTGTGGCTATTGTCTAAAAGCCGAAGAAAAAAAACGGGAACTGACGTTGTAAACACTTCTCCACTAGAGGGAGACTTTGCATGGCTTTTTATTTTCTAGTTTTATTAAAAATATATTTTTTAAATGATTTGGCCAAAGCAATGTAATACCACTAATGCTTTCTGAAAACATAAAACCTTAACCTACATTTGGTGATTTTCTTGACCTAAACATCTATGCATTCCCTATATGAAAAATGTAACAGGCTAAGCAGAAAATTATAAGTAATCAAGCTAGAAATGCAACAGGAGGATGCATCTCATTTTATTATTTATTTTTGTCCAAACCTAAATATAACTAATACTTTAGCATTCAAGCATTCATATTATTAAATAAAGCACTGTGTATTACATACCGCAATGTCACCTGACATGACTCGTATAGCTATCCTGAAACCGAGGCATGGTTATGTACCTAAAATGCTCTCGACTCCGTTCAGAGCACAGGTCATAGCTCTTTCGGCACTTCCTCCTTCGGAGCAGGACCAAGAGCTAAATCTACTCTGCCCTTTCAGGGCATTGAGGATATACATTGAGCGTTTCACCCCGTTCAGACGGTCGGATCAGCTTTTTGTATGCTTCGGTGACCGCACAAGAGGGTCTCCGGTCACGAAGCAGAGACTTTCCAAATGGATTATTGACGCTATCAAGCTAGCATACTCTTCTTTGGGCCTTCAATGCCCCATGGGAGTAAGAGCCCACTCTACGAGAGGCGTTGCCTCTTCCTGGGCTTGGTCTAGCGGAGTTTCCATTGCAGAGATTTGTGGGGCGGCCGGCTGGGCCTCGCCGTCCACATTTACCAGGTTTTATAATCTGGACGTTCCAGCTTTACAAGCTCGGGTCCTTTCCGCTTAATGGACTTACTCTAGCAAAACTAGTGCTAAATCAGGCATTTGCCTTCTCGGTACACTCTTGGTCCCCACTGGGTTCCGAGGCTGTACAATTTTTCTGGGAACGATTACTTAGCGCCGGGCCGACCTCTGTGAGTTTGGACCTATTGCTTTCTGTGGGGCTTCCCTGCAATTACTTGGTCCCTCTGGGCCCTTGGTGCTCAAGGCAAGTTCAAGCATTGGTCGTTCCTCTAACATAGCATGGTGGGATTGTACTGGTTCCCCTTAGCGTCTTAAGCAAGACAAGTACGAGTGAAGTATCGATAGGGAACGTACTCGGTTACTAACGTAACCTCGGTTCCCTGAGATACGGGAACGAGTACTGTGTTGCTGGCCGTGCTATGTAGCTGCACGATTCAGTCGTCGCTTCAGTCGAAGTAACCTGAGGATCCTATGGCGAAGTCCAATCTTATATAGCCAGATGCCCCGCCCAAATTGACTGTGCCGCCATTGGTTCATTTTTAATACACTGCACGAATCAATGGCCGTGCAGTTTCACTGCGTGATTGAAAAAGGCTTCAGTATTTGGAGAAAAAGGAGTTTTCCCCTTAGCGTCTTAAGCAAGACCCATTACTCATTCCCATATCTCAGGGAACTGAGGTTACGTTAGTAACCGAGTATGTTATCTGCTGTGAGACTCACTGCAGAGTCAATGTTGAAAACAACTGTGGGACTCAGTGCAGGGTCAATGTCCTCATTTGCTGTGGGACCCACTGCAGATTCAACACCCTCATCTGTTCTGGAGTTCACTGCAGAGTCAATATAGTTGTCTGCTTCCAGACTCACTGCAGAGTTGATGTTGATAACTGTGGGACTCACTGCAGGTTCAGTGTTGATAACTAGTACTGCCGCTCCCTATACGCAGAGTACACAGTTTGCGTAGGACACCAACTCCCAGGGGGGCACCATCCCAGTTGCTCAAAAAAAACAAAACTTGTCCCCCATCCACACTCGCGACCACTCGCACCTCATGTTTGCGGCTGAATGCAAATTATCATAATTGATGGATGGACATCTATGCCTGTGAAAAGACATCAGCAATCCGGCTCAGAGAAAAGAAAAAGAAAGAAAGAAAAAAAAAAGGTGAAAACGAAGTCCGTGCATCACTTTCAGGCAGATTCATAATCCTGTGAAACTTTTTTGGCTGTTGATGTTAATAACGTGTTTTAATGTCGGAAATAATTTCACCAACAAGGCATTTAATATTCTCTCTGACTTTCCATGTTCCCTTACAAAAATTAGCAATGGTTTTAACACGAATAACACCAAAAATCATCGTTCTTGTAGCCATGGTAACCACAAATTAACCATGGTTTTGTTATTTCAAATAATAATTTCCAAAATAGAAGTATTAAGATAATAATTTTTTGTGGTTATAAAAACAGACCTAAGCCAACAATAGCCTTTAAAATGACTTAAAATGCATTATATAAAAACAATAAGGCAATAATGATTGGTTAATAACACTGTTAAAATACATAATGTAGGCTAATACAAAATAAACAATTTATGTACATTACATGTTATTACAAATGCCTGCAAAGGGAGCCAAAGGCCTGGTAATTGTCCTTGTTTATGCTTTTGGCCAAACATTTAATTCAAATATTCACTTAATTTTTTTTGCTATAGATAACACAGCCTCTATAATTTCTTCAACAAAAAAACATGTGGACAGCACAACCCTTACAAAAAGAAACCATGGTTTTATCGTAGTAAAACTGCTTAATATTCTTTTGCGTGATTTCTGAATGCTTGAGACTATAAAATCAATTAGACAACTGTATTAATAAAGTCATAGCCATAGGTAACTGTCTAGAGCTACAATTGTAATTTGTAAATAATACAATTTATTTATTTATTTACTTTTAGATTTGATTAAAGTTCTATTTTGACCCCCATAGTAGGTGTTTTTTTTTTTTTTTTACTTCCATA